TTTTTCCAAGCAAAAAAAAAAAATATAACTTGAAATGCAAAAAAAATGAATAATGTATACTAGTTGATTGTCATGTGCTTCTCCATGGTTCTATCAAGAGGTTTTTTTAAAGTGAAAAGGAATATTGAAATTGTTAATGTGTTTTTTTAGTAATATAAAAAAATATTGTGAAATTTAAATTTAATATGCATATTTAATAAAAAAAATTGAGAATTAAATTTGCAAATAAATGTTAAGAAAAGATTTTGAATGCAAATTAAAGGCTAATTAAGGAAATTGAGAAATATATGCAAGTTAAGATTGTTAATCTTGTAATGTAGATAGCCTTTAATTAGTTTTTTTATTTAAGAATAATTTATCTCATAAGAAGTGTAATAGTTAAAATTTCACTTAGAAAAATACATTGTTAGAAAAATAAAAATTTATTTTCAACGAAAAATATATTTTTTATTTATATTATTTATTTAATAAAAACCAAAACCAACCAAAACTCATGTTAAAAAAGACTTGCTCTTTAACAGGTTTATATGCATCTTGGTTAAATTCAAAGTAAATTCAATATGATGTCATTTTAATATTTTTTTTTATATAATGAGGAAATTATGCTTTTGAAAAATAGATGGCATATCTTTTACTTCTTCAACTTTGTCCATCTTAATGGATGTATCATGTACTTGATTATAAAAAATTATATTTTCAACTCTTTTTTCATTTAAAAACAAATAAAAAATACATTATGGACATCAATAAACTCATATATAATCTAAAAACATCATTTAATTGGTGAAAAATAGAAAATCAACTCAAAAAGAAAAGAAAAATCCAAAAACACCTATTTTCAACTTCTTTTCCACTTGAAAACATATAAAAAAATACATTGTTAACCTCAATAAATTCACATCTAATCTAAAACACATTTGTTTGATAAAAAATAGAAAACCAACTTGAAAGGAAAAAACAATTAGAAGCCACTATAAAAACTTTTTCCAATAATATTAAAGGGTTAAAAACACACAATTAAAACTTATCTCATTAAATGGAAGTAATTGATATCAAAATCATTTTCTTTTATTGTTGTAGTGTGAATAACCAGTAATTTTATCTCTTTTTCATCGCTTGAATTTATAAACTAAAATATGAATAAAATAAAATTTTGAATTAAAAAAATAAAAATTTCAAACTAAAGGAATGAAAAATGAGATTTACAAAACTTTGGAGGAAACAATTACTTAAAAAATACCCTGTGATTGGTGTTGGAAAAAAATTATTTTTGTTTCATTGTTAATTTTGATCCATTAGTTTCATTTTTTTTTACAAGCAATAAAACTGATTTTTCCTGTAAAGTCAAACAACAACATGATGCTAGGGTTTTTTTACACATGATAATCATCTTATAAAAAGTAAATTAAAAAAATTATTAAGTTTAATCATTATTCAATACAATGTAAAAAGAATAACTTTAAAAAAAAATTATCAACTAAAGTGGAAAAACACTTTAAAGATCAAAATAATGAATATCTTACTACAATTAAAAGAGTCTTTCATCATATCCTATAGGAAAAACCTCGCTCATTTTAGGTTTTATATTAAATTAGTTATTTGTTGGGTCTAATGCATAGTTATTGAACTGCTTTAGTGTGGTAAGTCAATGAAAAACTCAATTTGGGCTAGATTGATTCAATTAAATGGGTGTTACAGATAAAGCCTTTTTTTAGGATTGTAGCCTAAACATAAGTTAATTAAAATTAATTTTTTATGTTTTTAAATTGTTTTGATGTAATGATATTAAAAATAAATTTAAAAAAATAAATAATTAATTATTTTGATATATTTAAAAAAATATATTTTCAAAAACAATCATTACTATATTCCATTGAAGCTATAAAAACATGTATACCATTCACTTAAAAATAGTGTAATTATTTTGATATATTTAAAAAAAAATATTTTCAAAAACAATCATTACTATATACCCTTGAAGCTATAAAGACATGTATACCATTCACTTAAAAATAGTGTAATTGTTTTTTTCACTCCTTCACCCAGAAACATTATATTGATTTACCAGGGCATTGAAGTCATTTCACATGGTCCATTTGTCATTTTTAAATTGATCGGTAAAAACTAAAAGTCTATTTGTTTTTATATTTCAAAAGTGTTTTTGAAAAAAATAAGTTTTTTTATTCAATTTTTTTTATATATTTTCAAATCATTTTGATATGTGGGTATCAAAAATAAATTTTAAAAATATAAACATATATTATTTCAATGCATTTCTAAGCAAAAAAAGCTCTTTAAAAAACAATTACTACCACAATACCAAATGGATTTTAATTTTTTTTTCATATTGAGTGCACAGTAAAATGATCAAAACACATTTAAAAGCAAAAAAATTAAACCTAGTGTGAAAGGATGTTTTTATATTTTCACAATAGTGTTTTGGTTATTATAATTTAAATGAAGAGGCAACTTGGTATTTTCACAAATATACAAAAGTATTAAATAATAAAAATACACAATAAAATGATTTAAAAACTCTTGAAGCCAAAAAATTTAAACTTGAGGTCAAAGGGCGGTTTTGGTTTTTTATTAAGGTTTTTTTGTAATTATAATTTCAACTTAGAGAAAATTTTGTATTTAACTAAATAAAAAACAAAAAAAAACATTGGTACCTATAGGAAGCATCCGCACTTTTAGGGATGTGCATGCGATGTCTTCTAATATCCAAAAACATCTTTCATTATTTGATGAAATCACCATCATGCCCTCTTCTTGATAACATTGTGAGTGTCATCAGTGATGATATGGTGTGGTATCGGTTGACTCTTTTTTTTCTCTTTCTCTTTCCTCCTAAAAAACATATAGCTTAACTTTCTTAGTTATTGATATTTTAATTTAAGTTCCTATTTTTTTAATTTTTAACTTTTTATCTTTATTTCTTATTCTTTTAATTTTTTATTTTTTATCTTTATTTTTTTATAAAAAAAATTATTTGTTTTTAATTTCATCATTTAATCCCAATTTTCTAAACATTTTATTCTCCAATGTGGTTCTTATTCTTTGAATTTTTAATTTTTTTCCTTGGCTTTTTGTAAAAGTTTTAGTATTTTTCAATTTAATTCTTCAATTTCAAATTAATGGTATTATATTTTTCAAATTAATCCTTATTATTTTGATTTTAATTTTTTTTCCTAACCTTTTTGTAAAAGTTATTATTCTTTTTAATTTCACCCTTTAATTACAACATTATTTTTATTTTTCATGTCAATTTTGATTATCATTCTTTTTAGTTTTCTTTCATCCTTTTAGTAAATTAGTTTTTTTTATCTCAATTTCACCATTCAATTATATATATAATTTATTTTGTATTTTAATTTTGATACTCGTTCTTTTAATTACCATTTTAAAAAAAAAATTGTATAACTAATTGTTTTTCCAATCTCATCCTTTAATATTTTATTGTTTGAGAATTGGACTTTATGATTTTTCAATTTAATGACTCGAGTTATGAATGAACTTTATGATTTTTCTAGATTAGATGTTTTCAATTTAATGACTCGAGTTATGAATTTAAAAAATTATCACAAGTTTTTTTTTAAAAAGCTTTATAATTATCTTTTTTTTATCATTTTATTTCAATCATATGATATAAATCATGATTTGACTTAACTCAACCTTCAACCTTAATTAATATAGTTGGAGGTTTATCATGAATAATTTTTTATTTTTTATCTCATTTCAATATTTAAACATCATTTTTTTCGGTCAAAGAACGAGCATTGAGGTCAATCCAATCTAATCATACATTGCCAATCTAATGATCCATAAGAAGGAAGGGTCCATTAATTCCTCTTTCTTTTTTCTTTTTGTTTATATAAGGTATTATACTATAGATGCTTTTCAAAACTATTTTTTATTTTAAAATATATTAAAATATTTTTTTTTAATTTTTAACACCAATATATTAGAATCATAAAAAAAACTAAAAAAAATATCAATTTGATATTTTTTTTTCAAAGTAAACACTCTTTAAAAAGTACCCAAAACAAAAGTTATCATTCTCCTAAATGGTTGGCTAAAAAAACACAAATTCTAACTCTCCCGTGCCTTTTGATCTAAAAAGTTGTCATATGAAATAGGAGGGATAGAAGGTTTGAAGAAATTGTTTGGATGTATTAGAAATTACATTACTTGTAATTACATAAATATAAGATTTATTGTACAAATTATTCATAAATTTTAATTTTATGTGAAGAAAGAGAGAATATAACTTCTAGTGTCATGAATAATTTCACACATGATTAAGAAAGAAATGAGGTGGTATATTCTTGAACACCGTTCCAATGTCTTCAAAGCAGCTTTGATATTATATTAGAGTTTTTTGTCATGTATTTACCTTGTATTAAACCCAAAATGATCATGCAATCATATGCTAGAAGATCCATTTTACATCTCCGAAGGTGTCTATAATAGCCTTTTTATTGACTAGTTCTCTCGTTGAGAAAATAAAAACATAAAAAAAAAGGAATTCTCAGCATTACCTTGTCATCATAAAGTTTCAAATCACACAGCTAACCCCACCAGAAAAGGGCAATTTTCCCAATTCCCACCAAACTATAGTCTCATCGCTAAATTTATCATACAATTGCAGCTATGATGTTGCCATCAGATAACAGCACAATGGTATAATTCGAATAGAACAACATGGTATACGAGCATAACCACCGACAGAAAACTACACAAGAACAGATGTACTCTACCCAAGCCATCATTTCTGCTGGCCATTAAATTTTGAGTGAAAACAAATGAGGGTGGATAGAAAGGCTTCAATGATAGAACTGCCACCAAAAATCTCTGATATGATAAGACTGCCACCAAAAATCTTTCACAATACAAAATGTTGAAAAGAACCAATTTTCTACATGGCCTAACATACGTTTCAATAATTGGCCTCTGTTAGACTGTATTTTAATAATAGAAAACACAGTTTGAACCCATGACTATAAACTACCGCTTCTTGGTCTTCATCTTTCCCTTCTTTCTATCCCTTTTGTTTTATGGTTTTAACCGTGATTTGTGTTTCAAAACTTTCTTGAATGAATTCTTTTTGCTCACGGATAACTTGTGCGATTTATCAGCTTCATTGAACCTTGGCACTGTCACTTGTGTCTTTTCACTATGGTCATCCTCATCTTCTCGCGAAATTTCGTTAGTGGTCATAGTAACTTGCATGTCTCCATTGTCGTACTTTGCTGTCCCTTTTGCCACAAACCCCAAATCCAAATTAATGATTATAGTGCTTTAGCTATAGCAGAAATAAATGGAGAAACGACATGCTCCTATCTTAAAAGCACTCTAAACATACTATATGGTTAGAAGTAACCTCAAGCAACAATCATCTCATGTTACTATTGCATTGGATTGGTTGTGTGCGATGATCACAGAAGATACCATCATGAAGGGAGTGATTGTGATCCATTAGAATGGTTACCAACCATTTCTATAAACCAAAATTACCCCCATAAAAGTTAGCCCCAAAGGGAGGTTAAATCTGAAGATACATACGCACAAGGCTTTGTAAATCAATAGTTTCCATGCAGCATGCTTTTCTCTTGACATAAGCTGGAAGTTAATGAAAATACCGTTTATTGATGCAATTGGCTCAATTTCTTCATCATCTTCTTCATACTTATCGCTTTCATCAGCAGCTGGTGGAGCTCCTCCATTTAAAGCAAGTTCTTTTTCCAGTTTCCTCAACAACAAAAGTTAGGTGGCAAAATCAGGATAATCAAATCTCAGGAAATGGAGTTCCCCAACTTCCTCTCAGATCATTGGCCATATGCACCAAGCCGTGTCCCAGAAAAGGTGACACTAGATCCCACTGAAAATTCTCTTAAACCTTAGTTACGAAAAGCTACAATTTGTAACTTTCCTTGAATCTACTTTTTCAAATGACAAAGCCAAGAACACATTATGTGCATTCTAAACATTTTAAATTACAGAATAATACATCGATAATAAAATCTTATGTTTACAATAATTAACAAGGTCCATCTCATAAAGTTGCAGGGACCATTGCCTTACAGACTGCATCCTAGCAAAGCAAAAGGTCCATTCCCCTTAATTTATTGTCATTTCATAAACTGCTAACTTGGCATAAGGGTGATTACTGATTAGACATTTTACTAAAGCTCAGCTGCTCACACGTTGATTGGACAGAGAAGTTAGGGAGTACCCATCAACGCATAAAGTAGAATAGGATGCATCTCAACCCAAATAAATTGTTGTAATGTGTTGGCATTTGTCAGCATGTTAATGGCTATAAAACCAAGCACACACATGTTGGACTCATGTTGGGAAACTTTTTAAGAAAAAGACAAGCTTTGTAGTATGCACCAATTATGTGCATTAGATGAACCAAATGATAGCAAATCATCTTGCTAAAGTCCGGGCGCTCAGGATTAAGATAAAATGCTAATTGAAACTCAGCTGTTAAAAGTGTCATTAAGCTTATATGAGGGTATGCAAGGAACAAAAGAACCCAAAAACACTCATTGCTCCAAGGAACAGAGAGCAAGATAGGATATATCATCCTCAACACTGTTAATTACCAAAAATTGAGAAATATTTCTCTTTGGAATTGTCAGAGGATCGGAGTTTTGCTTGTTCTTAACATTTCACAGGTGTCAGACCTATCTCTAATAGAAGACTTTCCTCCCTATATCTTCATGACTAGTTGGGTGAATGCTAGTTTGGTAAGCTGTGGTGGTTGTGGAACTGAAAACAGGCCATAATAACAGAAAAGTGCTCTCCATATACTAAACAAGTAAAGAACTTCGACTTCTTATCTAACCTATTGTGAATTTTCAAAGAAGTATTTGTTTATATATCAGATTGACCATAAATACAGGTCACCAGCGACCAGGCTAGGGTTTCTTAGCAGACAAATTAGAAACTCATCCTATTTACAAGAAGAAACATCATGGAAGACCCTTCAGTCTTGCCATTATTAATTATTCTCATTCAAAGATAACTGTATCTAGAACGAGGCACCTCTCTCTCTAAATAGTAGCTAAAAGAAACATGATGTTCTCAACATCTAATACAACCACTCAGGAATTGAATGTGTCCAAGGAATGATACAACACACAACTTTCCACCCAATCTTATCAAAAACAGACAAACAGATTGTCACATGACCAATATCGACACCTTCAAAACAAGACCATTCATTCATTTTGTCTACCATGCATTCAATTCAACTTGCTATCATAAAAAATAAAGAACAATCAATTGGAATCCTTTTACGAACCTGTTTGCGTGTCGCGATACGCTTGAGCTTTAACTTCTCCTCTTGTTGTTTAATTGCTTCCTTTGTCCTCTTTTTCTTCCTCTTATGAAACCTAGCAACATAATCCCTTAACAAAATCAAAATCCCATTTCACTAAACCCATCAACAAACCATGTTGAACAATAACTCTCTCGAATTATTACCACAACATAAGGAAAGTAACAACAACAACAACAAAAAATATGAAGAAACATTGGATGTAGTACCTGAGATCTTTCTCGTTGAAAGAGACAAACATGCCCTTGTTTTTAAGAACTCGTTTCTTTATTTGCCCAACTCGAGTTGGCGGTATCTGTATTACTCCGTTGTCCTCAATTTCACCTTTCATGGTAGCTTCAAAACTGTTTTCTGGTTGAGTCTGTCTGATCCATGTAGGGTTTCGAACTTACATGGAGAGAGCTTGAGGTTTATCAAACTGGTTTTGGGTTAAAAGTTGACGTCGAGTTCGTTTCTCAGTTTGGAAGGGTTGGGCCTAATCATCTCCGTGGGCCCATTCATTTGAATGGGCTTTATTGCAGTGATTTTTAAGAAAAAATGGTATAAATTATAATCAAATAAATTATAAATTCTTAATTTTTATTAAAGAATTATTTTAACTTAATTTTTAATTTAAAAAAATTGAATAAATATATTTATAAAATTAAATCCAGGTTACATCAAATATATTAAAAAATAAAAAAATAAAATTGAAGCAAATATATTAATAAAATAAATTTTAACCCAATTAGTAAAAAAATCTATTAAAAGAACCTTTTTTTTTTCCTCAAATAGATAATCCATTGAGACTTCATCAAATCTAAAATGACTAATATAGTAAAAAAATAAATAAATAAATAAAATGATTAAAAATTATGGAAATTATGTGCAAATGAAATTGATGTTATAATAATTTATTATGAAAAATAAAGATGTGAGACTCGCACAATCATATTTTACTGCCGTCAAATTAACTCTTTTTGGTCCCAAAATAAAGTTCAATGCGTGTGGTGGAAATAAATTCTAGCTGACTTTCAAGACAATTCCCCGGCCCATAAATGATGGCCCACCAAGATTTCTTATTGAATGACCCAATACACAAGTCACCGAATTAGGGTTCATGTGCACTGAAAAGGGGCAAACTTTATTTTTTATTCCTATGTATTCATCATTGTTTTTATTTCTACCCCAATAATTTAAAATTTACATAAAATTATTTTTAATATCAGGTAGTTTTATTGGTTTTTCGCTCTGCTTTCATATTTTGAAAAACTACATTTCACCATATCCTTAATTAACTTAAAATTTAAAATAAAATAAAATAAACTTATCCTCACAGATACACAATGCCATGTTAATTTCTTGCAAGTTGACCCACGCCATGATTTGAATTGTATAAAAAAAATTAAAAGCAAAAAAAGAATATAAATGTAGTGTCAACATGTTTCCTTGTACTAAGAAATTTTTGTTTATTATAAACTAAAAACCTAATGTTTATGTTTAATAAAAAAATCATGCACTTCAATAAATATTAAAAAAAGTTATCAATGTTAATTAAAGACTAAATCATGAAGTTTAAAGATAGATGCAAATTAAAATATATAATCTCATATTAGAAGAAGATCTTTTATTTTTTATTTAATTATATGGTAACTTGCTAATATGACTCCTCCTTTTTTTATGTTTGTTATTTAATAAAAATAAAAAAACAATAAAAGCAAATAAAAAAATTTGACCATTTAAAATAAAATTAAGAAGGGCATGTTTATGGCAAACCTTTTTTACCTTATTCATGTGCACCATTTGTTTTTAAAAAAATTATCATAATATTTATTTTTCAAATAACATCTTATCATTACAATAAAACCAGGTTTTAATTAAATAATAATAATAATATTACAATAAATTAAACTCAAATATATTAAAATAATACAAAAACAATACATCACTTGCACTTTGACATGAGAGACTTTCTAAAAGTAATGTTAAACTCAGCTAAGCTTAGCCAATCAGATTAACATGAAAATGACTCAATTTGAATTTTAAAAAAAAATGAGTTGAAAAGTTTATTGATATCACCTAATCAATTTAATTAATAAAAACATTTGACTTAAAGAAAAAAATTCAAGACAATGTTATTCTAGCCCTTTCTTTATATATATTAAGAAAAATAACGTATTTAATTAACTTAGAGTGATAAATCAAACTTATAATTCTAATTATAAATTTAATTATGTTTAATTACTTTGTTTTTTGAAATATTTTTTTAATTTAATCATGTTATATTGAAAATTAATATTCTTTCCAAAACAACCAAATAAATATTTTAAAATTAAAAAAATATCTCATTAATACCAATAGTGTTACCCAACTTTTTAAGATTTACAAGAGTTATTTTAATATCATAATTAACTCTTTTAAAAGAATGGATAGTACAATCTAATATTCTACTATCTCTATATCTTGTTATATAATATTTAAATAATTTAAAAGTATTTAAATGCAGTGAAGATTAAATAAATATTCTTATGTTAGAATATAAATATTTTAATAATGCTAATTTGAGTATATAATCAATAATTAATGATTTTGATATGATTATGAACTTAGAATAGCTTGTATATTCACAATATATTATATAAGTTAAGATTATATTCACTTTTTATATATACATATGAACTCGTCATTAATAGTTTAAATGATTGATTGGTTCAGATTAGTTAAGCCAACCAATCAACTGATTTCTATAAAATTACCATTTTATCTAGTCAAATTAAATAACCAACCAGTTCATTTAATCAAGCTAAACGTTAATATATTGATCAAATAAAAATATCTATCCTGCGATGAAGTCACAGATATAATATGTGGCCTGTGGCGCATTAACTTTCCTTCTTCTTTTGAAACAGCTTAATTAATATATCAACCGTTACCTTTTAATAATTATTTATAATCTTTGATATAGTTTTTTTAATTATCATACTCATTATACTAAGTTACTAAATTTGGAGTTATCACGAGACTCTCCTCCTCCTCCTCCTGGTATCAGGGGCTTCTAATATTATTTTTTTCCTAGCTATTTCTTATATACCAATAAATAAATGAATAATAATCGATGGTCAACTCTGGTCACAATGATTTCTAAAACATAAGAGATTTAGTCATAATTTCTTGAAAACAACAGGATTAAAATATAATTTCGTGTTTTGAATCGGAGTTGAATTATATTAAAAAATAAATATTTTTTTTAGTTTGAAATATATTTTTATGTTTTTAAATGTGTTGATATAAAAATAAATTTTAAAAATAAAAAAAATATTATTTTCATAAATTTCTAAAAAACAATAAATAAATAAAAATCTGCTGCAGTCCAAAACACTGCCGTAATACCCAACAAAATAACCAGCCCAGACAGAACGCGCTCAGCTTGCTTGCTTCCATCCCCCAAACAACCAAACAAGAAAACAGAAAGAGACGTCAGATATGGAGAATCAACAAGAAGACAGCTCAATAATATCAGACCAGGTAAAGGTTAACGGAAATCTAACCCCGTTGACTCTAACAACAGAAGGAAAGCTCCATTGGACGACGGAGAAAGGTCAACATAGTCTGACCGTGGAAAAAGAGGTGCTTGGATTCACAATTCAAGGATCCAAAATACTAATCAAAGCAGTTACAGAAAAACGAGACGGTTGGTTCGCATCCGCAGGAGGAGGAGCTCTGGCGAGGAAGAATTTTGTTTTTGAACCGTTAAGTGATGAATCACTGCACCTTTGGTGTCAACATCTCCGTGATTACATTAATTCTTTAGGTAATTAATGAGTAACTGTCTCTTAATTAATTATTAGTTAATTATAATTAGTTAATTGATTTTGTTGTTGTTTTGGCGTGATGATAGGGAGGCCGAAGAGGTTGTTTATATTTGTCAATCCATTTGGAGGGAAGAAATCGGCTTTGAAGATATATCTTGATGTGGTTAAACCTTTGCTTGAAGATGCTGATGTCCAAATTACAGTTCAAGGTAGAAAATTATCTGTGTATTGATTATTATTGATGGCTTGTTTTTTGTTTTTCATTGATTGAGTAATGCTAGAGGTATAGCTTCTTCTTTTCTTTTCTTTTTTTATTAAAATCGAATGGTGGTGAATTTATTGTTTCAATAAAATGAATAATGTAGCACCTCGATTAGTGGGTTCCACGGATGAACTCGATAGTCCGCGTTACTGGTTTGTGTTTGTGGAATGTAGCATCTGGTAAAAAGTTTTGCTTTTGTTTGTGTTGTTGATGATGATTATGTTGTCAGAAACTAAATATCAGCTCCATGCTAAGGAGCTTGTTAGCGCGATGGACCTTACGAAATATGATGGTATTGTTTGTGTCAGTGGAGATGGTATACTCGTTGAGGTTAGCTGGCTTATGTTATTGTGTTATTGTTTAAAATGTGTTGTTTGCGTTTTTGTTTTATTGCTAAACGGTGACCTGTTTAGCATCTGGTATGTTGTTGTGTTTTTTCTTTCTTTCTTATTAGTGCTGTACTTTTTAGTAGGTGGTAAATGGACTTTTAGAAAGAGAAGATTGGAATGCTGCGATAAAGATGCCTCTTGGAACGGTTCCTGCAGGTTTGTTATTCTTTCTTGGAGCATAATTCTTGTTTGCCATGAACTGTTCATAGATCACAGGTTCAGTTATGGTTGGTGTGCCTTGGGAACTGATTGTAAAATTTCTTTATCAATGAACTACTAAGTTGTTAAATTTTAGCGGCTCTTGGTTTTGTCCTGTTAATAAATGTTACCCAGGTGTAAATTTCTAAATTGGTTGTCTGATGGAGACAAGCAATTGTGATGATATTAGTTTGATTGTTGCTTCCTCACTGCTGATGCATGGTGTAATGCTTTCTCTTCCCAACCTTGTAATACTGTTCAAATTAATGCCGTCCGAATTGAGGCTCTTTTTTTAGATGAAGTCAGGTTTTTTTAGCTCTCCCCTTGGAAAAATGTGATATTTATGATATTATGGAAGTTTTGTTTTTTCTATCATCATTATCATCATCATCGTGAAGAAATTCATTTATCAAAAAATAACTGATGGTAGGAGCTTACCCTATGTGTGGAGATGTTGTTTGATTTCTTAAACAAAAGAATCAAAGAAATATAAAGAAACAAAAAATCCTGAACTATTGAGTACAAAAATTCCAAAGCCAACGCAACTCTGAGCATTCAGACTCCAGCAAAGCCTCCCTAAAAGTATAGTCTTGTGTAATATATACTGTACAGACTGTATAATTTTCTCCACAACATTATTTGTAACTTTCTAGATGTTCTTTTTATGATCGTAACCTATTTTGGATCTTTTCATTCCATATTTTAAATCGCAGTTCAGGATTTTGCATTGCATAGATCAGTACCTTATTTCTGGTTTTGATAATTAACACAAAATATATCTGGATGCAGGTACGG